TCATACTCACACACGACAATGGAAGAAATCAATTACTCATTTGGTGCAAAGCCACCGGATGTCAAGTCGCAGAGAGTTTGTTGTGGATGTCAGACCCCCGAATCAGCCAGCAAGCCATTCCAGCAGCAATGTCCCCGGTGTTCTGAGGAGGGATTCATTCCAGCACTCTTCTGCTCCCAAGCGTGCTACATGCAGGCGTGGCCACGGCACAAACAATGGCATGCAGATAATGCATCCTACATCAAAATGTACTCGCAACACATGGATATCGCCCCCAGGAACAGATCCCAACACGAACCTGCGGACCCCATGGAGCATGCACCCAAGTACTATGGCCTCGTTGCCACCGCCAAATCCAAATTTCAAGCCGGCGACTTGAGTGGCTCCAAAAAGCTCCTCCGGAAAGCCATGAAACTCGATACCCGACGACCAGAGGCATTTGACAAGCTCACTGTATGCTACGAATATTCAGGACAGAGAAACGAATCCAATTTCTATTTTATGGAAGCATTCAAGCGATATGCCTTTGTGGCCTTGGCCAAATTTGGAAACGTTCAAGATACCGATCTGGCATTCTATGCATGGTCAGGTGGTGTGTTTTCTCTAGCCAAAGAATACTTTGACAATCCAGAGTTGGACAAACCGGATTGGTGGCATCACGATGGAATGGTCCGGCGAATTACCAAAATGGCCATTGGTGGACTCAACGCGGAATCCAGTACAATCCCATACCAGATTGGTATTGTCTATCTCTTGCAAGCATTTGCATTGGCGGGCATTGTCCGTCATTTTCATGCTTCGTTCCATGGTGCAGAAGTCACAATCCCAGAAGATCGCACTCATGAAGAGCTGGTGGAGGCCTATGTGATCTTCAAAAAGGCAACCAAAAACACATTTACCACGTCTACAGCAGCCATTGATTCATTTTTTGAGTCTGCAGTGTTGGAAGCCATAAGGACAAGACATGCACAGGCCAAACAAGAAGTGAATAGTCCCATGATTGCAAAGCCCAGTTTGTGCCAAGCAGGTACATTGGTGTGTGCATTTGGCCTTGAAAGTCTAAAAGTTGGGATGGTGTCCAGAGATGGGTTGCAGGATTGTTGGAGGAAACATACCTGACACCTCTTTACTATTGACTCGTGTATTAATCATCTAGTCCGGTTCGCATGCAAATTGATCATGCAAGGAACCGAGTGAGTTTTAGGTCTAAAGTGTTACGGGGGTCCTTATATCCAATTCAATCACAAGAATTGCTATGCACCACCAGAAAATCCTCACTTTTGCTTTTCAGCTTAATCTAAAACCAAATTACTCCCCAATAAGCTGCAGTATTACTAGCAAATAACACTGAAAAGCAAAAGGCCATCTCGAGTTACTACTACCGATCTCGAGGTCGATATCAAGGTAAACCAAGCAAGTTGAGTTGACTTGAAGTGAGTCAACACCTGCAACAGAGAAGAGGTGCGCAGAATTGCTCTATAGCAACACTCTCAGTATAGGCAAACACCTCTAACAGGAGAATTGCCACATACGTGCGTCACGCGATTGAAAATCCCATTGCCGATCGATCTAACAGCTTCCGGCCGGAGCTACGTTGATCAGAGAGTATCGGCAGATCAAGGAGATCAAGCTACACGGATTGTCCGCTTGAAGAAAGGAAATCCGTCTCTTATCCAGCGAGATATCTTCAATCGCGCGAAAAACGGGAGTTCGATACGTCACATCACAGCGAGCAGAAGCCATCAGACGGGGATCAAGATAGGTCTTGACACAGGCGTTGCAAGCCAAAGGTACCATACATCGATCGATAGAGGACCTCTAGCCGCAACTCTGGATACCCTCGAAAGCTTCTAACTCCAAAAATTGAGCGAGATAGGTTGATACGAGTCAACCAGTGCTATTGTGAAGTGAAGAACAAGAATCCCGGTAACGTTTCGGAGAACTGAATCTCCACACGAGAGTTGTTTCGAGTGCTCAAACTCACACCGTGTACTCATCCAAGTATACGAAGGTCATCTGCAGAAGAACAGAGGCAACGAAAGGACCATCAGAGGCAGTTCGCTACTACCCAAGGCTCCAAAGAAGAACCACGTTTTACGTGAGCTGTCAACGACAGAGGCTATCCAGCCAGTACACCAAGAGTGCACAAGAGAAGGCTATCCAGCCAACAAAAAGCTTTAACAGGCAACTACAAGAGTAGTGCCCGTCGTGAGATCCTTCCTGCAGGAGTATCCACACAAGAACAGTTCCACGAGAACACAAGCTAGTTCCAAGGAACAAGCA